CATATCTTCACATGGGAGATGTATGGTAGTTTTTTTCAACTTCCTCTATATATTGAGTTAACTTGCAAGAGGAATATACAAGAGAAAGGAAGAACACAAGTGATATACAAGAGAGTGTATATCTCGGTCAGAGTGAGAGAAAAAACTAGAGAGTGTAAGGCAGTAGAGAGTGTATGAGTTGAGTGAGAGTGTCTCCTTCTCTGTGTAATCTCTATTTGTTTTACTGTAAATCTTCGATTCTCTCCGTGGACGTAGGCATTAAGGCTGAATCACATAAATCTTCTGTCCATTATTGTGTGTTAAATTTCTGGTAGTTCAGGTGGGTTGGCCTTAGAACTCAACAATTGGTATCAAAGCTAAGGTTGAGCAAAATGAGGCAAAACAAATGCTCGAATACTCTATTTTTCTGAAACTGTCAAAAATCAAGTTGCTCAAAATTCATTTTTTGAGCTTATTGAAAGGAAGGCCTCAATGAGAGGAGTCCAAACTCAGAAAGAGCAGGCAAAATGGAGGTCGGGATGGCCCACACGAGCCAATCAAAGTTTTGCGCATAAAGTCAACCCTAAACTAGAGTGAGTTTTGTAGCCAATCCAAACTTTAAATATATATCTGGGGAAATGATATCACAAGGGTGAGTTTGGCTCAGTGGTTTAGGTTTGTGGTCTTCAGACTCTTTGGTCTGGTTGGTCTGGAGTTTAAGTCCCACAAACAACTTTTGAAGAGTTTTATTTTTATTTTTTGGTATAGCTGACGTTAGTGCCATCTCACTGCCAGGTCATCAGCCAGTCAATGCCACGTGTCCTAGCCACGTCAGCAAATCTACCATGTCAGTAGAAAGTTTTAGAAATTGCATATTGGCCCCTAGAAGTTTGGTAAATTGCAATATGATCCGTAAAGTTTTTAAAAACTATAATTTGGTTACTAAATTTTTGGAAATTTTCATTTTAGCCCCTGTAGTTTGTGAAATTACAATTTGGCCCTAGGTGTTTGGGAAATTTGCAATTTAGCCCCTGATTTTTGGTAATCTTTTTAGTTTGGCCCTTGAAGAGGAAGGAAGTGTATTCCTAGCCAAACACGTCGTTTCGGTCACAACCATAAAGTCAAAAAAGTCAAATTCTGAACAGGTTTGTTTTTAGGTGATCAAAATGGCAGGAAAATGTGCAAGTTTCATAATAAAACCTATCAATGGTAATAATGACTTTCCATATGGCAGCAAAGGATAAAAAAATATTTTAATGCAAGAGCGCTTGGTGAAAGTTATCAACAAGAAGTCCAATAAACCGGTTGACATGGGAGATGACAAGTGAGAGGAGTTGAAAGAACTGGCAAACAGCATAATCCAGTTATATCTCAGGAACAATAATCTCCAAGAAGTCGACAATGAGGAAGATCTGGCAGAGCTATAAGCCAAGTTAGAAATGAGGTACAAGTCAAAGTCCTTGAGAAATCGGTTATCTTTGAATAAGAAGTTGCACACGTTTCAAATGCCAGAAGGAGTGAACCTTATAAAACATCTAAACGAGTTCAACGGGCCCACAATGGAGTTGGATACAATTAGGGTGAAGGTCGAGGAAGAAGATAAGGCTATTATCTTGCTGGTCTCATTACCTCCATTATTTGAGCATCTTAGGGCTACTCTAATGTACATAAAAGATACTTTTGGACTGGATGAGGTGGTTGCTACACTTATTTCTCATGAGGCGATGAAGAAAAGGTAAAGCGGTAAACACCCAGAGGGGAATGCCATGGTTGCATCAGAAGATGATTGGGGCAAAGGCAGGTCTAATGAGAGACGTGGTAGATCTAATCAGTAGGGTGTTCACAATCAAGGCCAGGTTACAGAAAAAAGTGATATTATTGTGATAAGGAGGATCACCTAATCAAAGACTATGCAAAGTTCAAGGATGACAAGGCAAACAAGGAATAAGCAAGCTCATCAAATGTCGCAGTTGCAGTGAATGCTAAGGATGAGTATGCATTCACAGTTTCATTAAATATGACGAAACCTGATTGGATTTTAGATTCCGGAAGTACATACCATATATGCATAGACAAGAGACTTTTTTTCCACCTACCAAACGAAGAACAGAGGTATTGTTTGGGTGGCTAACAACACTGTGAGTAAGATTGTTGGCATGGGAACAGTACGGCTCCGAATGGAAGATAGAAAAATTTTCACATTGGATGGAGTCCGACACGCGCCAAGGCTGAAGAAGAATCTAATTTCCTTAAGTATGCTAGACTTGAAGGGTTATAACTTCTCATCTAGTAAAGGAAATCTCAAAGTTATCCATGGAGATACGGTGATGCTGCATGGATGACTAGAGGGAAATATGTATAGACTTGTTGAAGAGGTTGTAACAGAAAGAGCTACTATCACTTACAGGGCAAGAACTACATGACACGTGCCGAAAAGACATAAGGCTCAGTAGACATGGCAAACAAAGTGTACAAGAATGCATGGAGGCAGTTCGAAGGTGCACAAAACGGAGCCATTGCGACCAATCTTGAAGAAAGCTCAGAGCAAAGAGACCAAGACGGCAAAGCACGTCCTAAGGAAAAAAAGAGTTTATTTTGCTCCTGAATTAGAGACATATTGCAATCTCTCCAAGACTACATGGAAGAGAGGGATGCAATCACAAGGAGTTACAAAGTAAGCTTTGCATGACACCCCAGTGAGGGGGCACAGGGTACTCCAGGCAAGGGGTGCAGGCATTTAATTAGGGGGTGCTATTGTGGATCACCCTACATGATTAAAGGGGGTGATTTGTTGAGTTTACCCACATGGATAGAGGTAGCCACCATTGTTGACATTGGTTGGCACAAATGTAGAGAAGCCACCGATTATTGACAATGGTGAGAGAGGAGCCAGGGAGACAAGCCGTTATAGGGAGGTGGCAAGTCATATCTTCACATGGGAGAGGTATGGGCTGTTGTCTTCAACTTCCTTTATATATTGAGTTAACTTGCAAGAGGAATATACAAGAGAAAGGAAGAACACAAGTGATATACAAGAGAATGTATATCTCGGTCAGAGTGAGAGAAAAAACCAGAGAGTGTAAGGCAGTAGAGATTGTGTGAGTTGAGTGATAGTGTCTCCTCCTCTATGTAAATAATCTCTATTTGTTTTAGTTGAAATCTCTAGTTCTTTCCGTGGACGTAGGCATTGAGGCCTAACCAAGTAAGTCTTGTTTCCATTATTGTGTGTTAAATTTTTGGCAGTTCAGGTGGGTTGGCCTTAAAACCCAACAAGATATATGTTTGCTTGGAAGATTTCCAAGACACGGCTACCCCTCCAAGGGTGAACACATAACCACTAATAGAGTTCAAATCCCTAACATTAGATATCCAATTTGCATCGTTGTAGCCTTCTATTACTGTTGGATATCTAGTGTAATGCAACCCATAATCTCGGGTGAAACAGAGATACCTTAACACCCGAACGATACCCTGCTAGTGCGTGGCGTCAGGATTGCTCGTGTATCTTCTAAGCTTACTAACTGAGTAGGCTATATCCGGCCTTGTACAACTCATCAAATACATCAAACTCCTAATGACTCAAGAATATTCTAACTGAGAGACACTCTCACCATTATTCTTAGTCAAGTGTAGACCCAAGTCTACCGATGTCCTAGATACACTTGTATCTAATTTACCAAACTATTTAACCTCCTAGCAAACTATTTAATAGCAAAAATAACTAATGAATTAAAATGCTAGATGAGTTACAAAATAAACATATAACTCTAAAAATTAAATTAAAATCTAATAGTCAAGAGTTATGTATGTAATTATTACACAATAAATATGTAAATAATTATAGACAATTAACAATCACATAATTCTTGAACAATTAACATGTAAATAACTCATGTAAATAATTCTAGAAATTAAAACGCCATGAACATGCAAATTACATTAAAAATTAGAAAGAAACTAGCATGCAAATTACATTACAAATCTAGAAAATTTAAAACATGCGAATTATCCTAAAAATCTAGGATCTAAAAATATGAAGATGTATAGTATACTAAAAAAAATTGAGACACTCGTGAACATGCAAATCATGGTAGGGATGCTCATAAAATTATTCAACTACATGTAACAGTATTCTCCACTGAAATACATAAACATGCAATTCAAGCCTATAAGAATTCTGACAAACTCAATACTAATAGAATAAAATATATATAAATACATGGAATTTGAAATCATGAATTTCATAAACATGCATCAATGGGTTCTGAAAAGATGCTAAGATACACTTATTTCATTCCTTGAATTTCTAATCATGAATAGGAGGCATAGTGTGGAAAAATCTAAATCCCTTTCAATTCACCTCAATAGTGGATTGACACTTATTTTAATATTATATTAAAATTATCAAAAAATTATTCATTATGTTTATTTTTAGTTTTTTGAAAAAACTTGTCAAAAAATCTTATTTTCTTATTTTTTGTATTTTTTTTTTATTTTTACTGAATGTTTTTAACATTTTAAGAAATTTTTTTAAATTTTTAGATACACCTAACATAAATACAATTAAAAAGTATAATTTTCGTAAAATTATTTTTTAAAAATTTACTAAATACCAAAATATAAAAAAAAAATATGAAAATTCATATATATATATATATATATTATATTTTTGTGTATTTATTAATTTTTTAAATATATTTTCACAAATATTTTACTTTTTAGATACATCTAAATAAGGTGCATTTAAAAAAATTAAAAAAAAATGCTTAAAATTTTAAAAATATCCACTAAAAAAAAACATGAAAATCAAAAAATTTAATTTTTAAAAAATTGAATTTAGAAAATTGAAACTAAACGGACAGATTATTTTTTTCTCTTCTAGTCTCGAGGAAATATTACAGATTGACTTACAACAACAAGTCAACCAAGAAATGTATGCATATATGTGTTTGATTAGGGCTGGATCGATCTATGTCACAGCTAAACAATAGAAGAGACAGAAAGATAGAGAAAAAGAAAGAATGAACCAGGGAGAGGGAGAGGTGGAGAGTGCAGGAGGGAGAGTGGAACAGAAGCTCCATGAAGCGATAGTTGAAGGGAATACTAAATTAGAAGCATTCAAAGAAATACTGAATAAAGATCCAAAGATTCTTGATAGGATTAAGGTGGGTTGTTTCATTCACACTCCTCTGCACGTAGCAGCATACCACGGGCATTTAGAATTTGTCAAAGAAATTCTAAAGAAAAGTCCGGGACTTGTTGAAGTGCTGGATTCGCAACGGTGGTCTCCTCTTCACTTGGCGTCTGCTCGAGGCCACCTTGATATTGTACAAGCACTCGTATTGGAGAATCCGGATATGTGCACAGCTCTTGATGGAGATGCTAGAACCCCTCTACATCTTGCAGCCATGAAAGGTAACCTTGATGTAATGGACAAGTTGATGAATGTTAAGGATGTTGCTGGTAACACCATATTGCATCTAGCTGTCAGGAATAAAAAATGGCAGGTATGCCAATTATTAAGTTTGTTTTAGATTGGGTTCCAATGCATTTCTTTTTATTAATTTTTTACAAGTTACTTTTTAAAAAGAGTTTCACAGTTATTCCAATTCCTTTAGCCATTATTGAAGTTAATGATGGTGAATATATCATTGAAGCTGCTGTAGGGCAAAATAGTATTTCTACTATAATCAAATTTTGAATATCAAATTTTGAAGTTTACATAGTGCTAAATAGTATTGAGATTATTAGTAATAATTTTTTTGTGTTAATGTTACTTGGGTGTTTGGTTTAGTCAGGAATCCTTAATGGAAAAATAGTAAAATTGAACATATTCTGAACCTAAATATTATTATTATTATTATTTTTAAAATTTCAACATTCTTCCAAGAATGTGAGAACATCATTGTAGAGTGAGGAAATCAGATTCTTATTAAATTTGAGAATGTGAATAGATAATCATGAATCACTTTCTCATTCCAATATGTTTCAAACGTTGGAATCATGTCAATCCAAAATTACATTCTCAATCTCCCTTAAAATTACTTTAAAAGTAATCTTTTTTTTTTCTTTTCTTTTTTTTTTTAAAAGTTGGGAGCCACGACTACCTTGGCCCTAGTGTAGCTGATATAGGCTTTGTATGGAGCTCTGTTTTACATTCTTTCTTTCTTTCTTTCTTTTTTTTAATAGTGAAACACTCATTTACCCAAAAGAGTAATTCTATAAATTAATATATATATATATATCATTACTCTTACTGGGAAATTGCTAGCTAATTCCTTCCAATCTAATGTTGACAATGGAATATAAATACTGCAGGTTGTGAAATATTTGCTTGAGAAAATAGAAAAAGCAGAAAAGACAGAAAACAGAATAAATGTAGTAAATGCAATAAACAATTGTGGGTACACAGCATATGACATTATAATGGAAAGTAAAAATGACACGCAGGAATTCAAAGACATTATAGTCACCTTTCGAAAAGTGAAAGCAGTGAAAGCAAATCTTTCTAAAGGGGAATGGTTGTCAAAAAAACGAGACATATTAATGGTCGTGGCATCACTTATCGCGACAATGGCTTTCCAAGCTGCGATAAGTCCTCCAGGAGGTTTCTGGCAAGACAATACAGCTGCACATAGAGCAGGGGAAGCTATAATGGCTTATAACTATTGTTGGCTACATATTTTGTAAAAGCCAGTTACAGTTCGACACGTGGCAGAGTAAGGGTAATAAAGGAAGGTTATTCGAGCCTTTAATCCTGATCGTACACGTGGCAATAAATATTGGTCCTCACATGATCTGAGTAACACTAGATCAATAACGGGATGCAAGATGACGTGTCTTCAACGGTTACTCATATTCGAATTCAAGTACAAGAGAGAAGCTCAACTGCCAGTAATGGTGTAATGGAGCTACTTGTAAGGAAGCATGATCAGCGATCATGGAGGAGCAGTTCGACGGTTCGAAGTGCAGTTCGAAGGTCATCACTGACGAGTATAAATAGCAGGGCAACCCCCAGAAAAAGTGGACGGACTCAGATCATACAAATCAGTCATTTACTTCATATATTTTCTTTTCCAGTCTTTTACATTTCCAGTCTTTAAATACCTGTTCTTTAAATACCTGCACTTTAAATACCTGCACTGCACTTCGATTCATAGGAGTAGCTTCAAGTAGATTCAAGTAGATTGCTGCTATAAACCTCTCCGAGGCTGAGTTCGGACCATTGTAAGTGTTCATTTTTATGAAATACTTCAAATGTTCTTCATATCACTGTTATTTCTCTTAATTTCTCCTAAGTCAAGCCACCAGTAAAAGTCCTCTTCATTGAGGCTGAAAAGAACTAAAACACAATCGTCTGATAATTGGTTGGCAATCACAATTTATGTAAGGACTGATTGATCCTTGCTGGCACGCTCACATTCACAAAAATACCCTTCGAAAAGCCAAAAAGCCAACAACTATCCAAATACATATCCGTATTTCATTCGTGCTAACACAACAGGATTCATTTTATCTGTGAGTACAATCTTATTGCTCATAACTGGATGTCCGTTCAAGAAAAAGTTTTTCATGTGGCTTCTGGTCATGATCATGTGGGTGACAATTACATCAATTGCTTTTACTTATGCATTTTCGATCGTAGTTGTCACACCAAAAAAGGAAAGGGAACCGCTTACTCATACAATTATAGTTGGAGCCATAGTGTGGTGCTGTGTGATGGCGAGTCTCATGATAGTTCACACGATTCGCGTGATAAATTGGTGGTTGAAGACCAACAAAGGAATAGATGTTTGGCCAGAGATTAAACAGTTCTTCAAATCCAACACAAGTAAACAAGATAGAAATTCAAGGAGTACCTGTTAGGTGTTGGTCTGAGGTGGAGTTGTGAGCAGAGGTGATCTATTGAGGATGGCTGTTGCCTCTGCTGTTTGCTGTTGGTCTGTTTGGGCAGAGATCCGTTTGAGGGTGGCTGCTGCTGCTGCTGATGTTTGATGCTGGTCTGTTTGCTGCTGTTTGCTCGCGTTTGTCTGTTTGGGCAGAGATCTGTGGAGGGGAGAAAATTTTTGCTCTGTAATTTTCTTTTTTTCTGTTTCTGTTGTTTTTGGTTTTTTAAGCTATTATTTGGGTGTGGTTCGTTTCTGTGTTTGTGGTTGGTTACTCACCAACTATTGATGGTGTGCTAATATATGATTGGGCGAATTTATCGATGCCAACTTAGTTGGGATTTATTTGTTTTGTTATGATACTTTTTTCACTCATTCCTTTTCTTTAGTGATATAATATTCTCTTGGTTTATCAATAATGTTTCCTTCTTTTTTGATTATCACAAAATAAATAAATAAATAAATAAAATAATTTAAAAAAATGGTGATGTTCATCAAATTTAGCTAAGTGGACAAGGCCTACAACAATCAAGAACAGATAGAAATTCAGGTAATGGTGAAGTTCTTCAAATCCAACTCAAGTAGACAAGGCATGCAACAATGAGGAGTAGATATAAATTCATTTAATGGTAACCATTCCACCGTTTGAGCTTTATGTTTAATGCGTGGGTTTCTATTTTTAGAAATTTACAATGTGCACCCTTTAAAATAGTGTAAGAAATTTACAATGTGCACCCTTTAAAATAGTGTAAAAAGTTGTGATTTTTTATAATAAATGTTATGATTATTTGTAATGTGTGTTATGAATGAATAACGAATTTATGATGTGCATCCTAAAATTATGGATGATAATATTGTGATACTTTGTGATTTTTGTTATGACACTTTAGAATTTTGTTAAGACATTTTTTCAGTGACAAAAAGTTATAAAAACATATTATATGTACCATTTTGAGAGTGCACATTGTAGCATCCTCTTAAATCACTATCAAATACAAAGAGTTGAATATAGACCAAAGAAAGAAAGAAATAGAGCATAGGGCGATAAAAAAAATTAACTGAAAATTTAATTATGAGAGTTCTATCTTTTTAAATATTAAATTATGCAACAAATATGAGGATAGTGTATGAGATATTTTGGAATAACATGAAAGATGGGTGTTTTGGGAAGTGCCTTTTTTTTTTGTTTTGTTTTGTTTTGTTTTGTTTTTAGCAATCTTTTTTTTTAAATTTGTTAAAAGTTTTAAATTTCTAAATTCAGAACAATAAGACAAACCAGAAATTTATAATTTTTTTAAAAAAAATTCAAAAATAATTTAGAAAAGACAAAAATAAGTCAAAATAAATTATCTTTTTTGGCTTATTTTTGTTTTTAATGATTTTTTTTTACAAATTTTCAAAAGAAATATACTTTTTAGATTTGTCTAAAAAAGACAGACCAAAAAAGTAAAAACTTTTGACATAATTTTGAAAAGAAAAAACTAAAGACAAAAAGAATTCAAAAACAGAGGTGGTTTTTTTTTTTTTTTTTTCACTGCCAAAATGGTATTTAGGCCAAGTTTGGGAAGACTAAATAAGTGTATTTTTTACTTTTATTGTATTATGTGTAGAAAAAATAGAGAGGAGATGTTGATTGATGTGACCCAAAAAAGATAAAAAGATAAAATAAGTGCACTTATTTTGTTTAGCCAAACTTGGCCTTAGAATAACATTAAAAATGTCCATAAAATTATTGGAATTAGAACCAGACATCACATTACATTTTCTAAAAAAAAAAATTATTTATGGGAATCACATTACACTTTATACCTAAAAAGATGGATATAAAATATTCACTCATCACATATAGATGACGTAAATAAATAAAAAATCATTAAAATAAAACCAAATATAAAATAAATTTTAAATAAAAAAAAAAAAGTGTCCCATGAAAGCATAATTCCATTGAGATACACCTTAGGAAAACTTGCTAATTATGGGTCATTTTGTGAAAGAAAACTTGCCCAATTAGGGGTTTTGAGGGAGGGATTGCAGTGGACGAGGGCTAGCCACCAGCGGTAGTGGCCGCCAGAATTGTAGAGGTGTAGAGAAGAGAGAGATGGTGAGTTTGGATAGGACACACTACAACAAAAGTTACTATTTACGGTTTTGCGTTTATGGCATGCATCAAATGCATGTCGTAATTAGTGTATTCTATGGCATTTATTTTTGGCAAGTCATTAATGCTTTGTAAAGAACGACATATATATTATGTATGTCGTTGATTTCTATATTAATGACATACAAAAATATGCTGTGAAAAACATATACTATCACGGTTTGCAAAAATATGCCATGAAATATTTATGCATTGTACGTTATAATGTATCATAACTTTATACGACATGCATTAATATGCTGTGAAAACTCCTACTATAAAAACTTTTTAAAAAAAATTATTTTCACTCTAAAAAAGTCATAATCTTATAAATAAATATTTTTTTTACCAAATTATATTTTAATTATAAATAATAATAAAAAAATTCTATATGTCCTTAGATATTTATAAATTTCTAGTAAATATGACAATTTACCCTTGTAGAAATTGTTGAAATCTATCTCACCAATTTTGCGATAATGTGTACGAGCACTTGGTCAAGAAAGAGATGGATACTAAATATACTTCTTGGTTCTTGCACGGGGAACAACTAAGTGCATCGTCCCATCAGGAAGATGTTGAAATTTCAGATACATATAAGATGTTCAGAGACGTGCATGTAAAAGATGATGATTTTGCAGGGTCTACAAGTGAAAGTAGAGAGAGAGAGAACTAACAAAATCATTTGAAGATGTTGAAACTCCTATATATCCAGGGTGTACAAAGTACACTAAATTCTCAGCAATTGTTGCTTTTATACAAGCATAAAGCTGCACATAATCATTCTGATGAAAGCTTTATACAAGCATGTTTGTCTTTGAGTGTAGGGTACCAATCCCCCCAAAAAAAGCTCTCATCTACTCCAATCTACTCCTCCTGACAACCTTCAAACTTCGGTGAGTGAAAATAGTGTTTTCAGAACATTTTTATCTACTCCTTGTGTCTTTAATTGTTGGAATTCTGTGGTAGCTATATGCTTAGTGAAGTGTTTTCATAGTTTTTTTTAGGTGAATGAAGTTGGTTATGTTACTGAAAACATTGAAGCTATGAAAATATCCAAATGTCCTGGTTCTTCAATTGCAAACCTTCCAACTGGTTTAGATATGGTAAGTTATACTCTTTTTAGAAGTCTCAATTGTTATGATATGGCAATTAGTTATACATTATTGGCATCTTTGAGAACCAATTAATGAGATTTTAGAGATTGTTTTGGGCCGTTATTAGTTATGCATTGATTGATTTGGACAATCTACTCCTTGTGTCTTTAATTGTTGGAATTCTGTGGTAGCTATATGCTTAGTGAAGTGTTTTCATAGTTTTTTTAGGTGAATGAAGTTGGTTATGTTACTGAAAACATTGAAGCTATGAAAATATCTAAATGTCCTGGTTCTTCAATTGCAAACCTTCCAACTGGTTTAGATATGGTAAGTTATACTCTTTTTAGAAGTCTCAATTGTTATGATATGGCAATTAGTTATACATTATTGGCATCTTTGAGAACCAATTAATGAGATTTTAGAGATTGTTTTGGGCCGTTATTAGTTATGCATTGATTGATTTGGACAAACTTTGTATTAATGGTGAGGAACAGAAATTTTAACCATTGCTTCCACTGCAAAAGTTAAGGTGAAAAAAGGTTGTAGATGTAACGCCCTCAAAAATAAACC